ATTGATTTGAGGAGTTCAGGATGTTGGTTAACGTTGGGAGCAAATATCTGGCATTTATGGCACCGTCGCACCCAATCCGCAGCATCTTTCCGAAGAGTAGGCCAGTAGTAGCCTTGCCGGAGAATTTTATAAGACAAAGTTTGAGCTCCTTGGTGGGTGCCGCAGACTCCTTCATGTACTTCTTGCAAAATTCGTTGAGCATCTTTCTCCGACAAACATTTAAGCAATGGGGTAGAATACCCGCGTTTATATAATGTCCCTTCATCGATAGTGTAATGAGCAGCACGAACACGGAGAGCACGAGCTTCTTTTAAGTCTTCAGGTAAGGCCCCGGTTCGAAGATAGTCGATAATCGGGTCCATCCAAGTAGAATTTGGGGTTATTGAGGCGGCTTCGACCATAACGACGTCGGTAGAGACTGTGGATGAGGTCGCCTGCTGGGTAATTTGCACAAATTCAACATTATTCAAGTCGGTTGATGAGGCCAGTCGCGAAAGAGCATCTGCCTGGACGTTGGATGACCGGGGTATATGCTCCAGCGTCATTTTGAATCGTGCCAGCTTCTTTTTAACAAGATCAAAATAGGGCAACAGCCGTGGTTCCTTGACTTCGTAAGTGCCGTTGATATGACTGACTAGCAACTGGGAGTCGGAAAATATCCGAAGAGAGGAAACGTTCATGGATTCGGCAAAGTGTAATCCTGATAAGAGGGCCTCGTACTCGGCTTCGTTATTGGTGGCCGGAAAAGTGAATGCCACAGAGTAACAAAACACTTGCTGATCGGGACTAACCAAGACAATCCCCCCCCCAGCTCGCATAGCAGTGGACGATCCGTCAATGTAGAGAGTCCACATCGGATCTTCAATGGATGAATCAACAGTGGGAGTAAATTTAGCAATGAAATCGGACAATACTTGGGCCTTGATAGCGGTTCGTGGCCGGTACTGTATATCGAACTGTCCCAATTCAATTGCCCATTTGATCATTCTTCCCGACGTGTCAGGTCGATGAAGGATTTGTCGGAGAGGATACGTCGTGAACACAACAATTGGGTGCTCCAAGAAATATGGGCGCAACTTTCGTGCAGCAATGATCAGAGCATAGGCCA